ACTATTAGCACCTGTATTTTTACAATTTCACTCTTCATTTTTTAAAATTTTTATTTATTTTGCACAGAGTAAAAGCTCCCATCTGGTGATTGACCCCCAAGAAGCCCACAAAGGGTGGGACTGGACCAGAGCCACAGCTGGGAGCTGGGGACCCGATCCGAGCCCCCCGTGTGAGTGACAGGCTCCCAGGGTCTGGCCTGCTGCACACCCACTCCCGTGGATTTCCAGTCTTCTTCCCGGCGGCTTCCTGTGGTGTGCTCATTTTCATAACTGCAGTTGTTTTGCGTCTTTTCTAAGAGCACTGACGTCTTGTGCCCTCGAAGGTGTCCAGCGCTGTTTGCAAGTTTTCGTCATCACTCCTGGCAGCGGGCCTTGTGTGTTGGTGCCAGCAGCGGGTAGCATCAGAGGAGTGTGGGGGGCTCACGTGGACAGCTTCCTGCAAAGCTCTGACTCCACCTGCCCCCAGAGACCCCTCCGGTTCTCTTCAGCCCCAGGCCCCCACGTCACACTCCTGGCTCTCCAGGCCCCAGCACCCGGCTCAACCCTGTTTCTCCACATTCAGTTCTAATTGTTTAGCTCTGTGCTTGGTGAGTGGGACAGGGGAATACTCCTGGTAACTCTTGGCCTTTCTTTTCTTTTCTTTTTTTTTTTTAAAGATTTACTTATTTATTTGAGGTCAGAGTTACACAGAGAGAGGAAGAGGCAGAGAGAGAGAGAGATCTTCCATCCAATGGTTCACTCCCCCAATTGGCTGGATGGCTGGAGCTGCACCGATCCAAAGCCAGGAGCCAGGGGCTTCTTCCGGATCTCCCACGTGGGTGCAGGGGCCCAAGGACTTGGGCCATCTTCTACTGCTTTCCCAGGCCGTAGCAGAGAGCAGGATCAGAGGTGGAGCAGCCGGGACTAGAACCGGCACCCATACGGGATGCTGGCACTGCAGGCGGCGGCTTTACCCCCTAGACCACAGCGCCAGCCCCCAACTCTTGGCCTTTCTGAGATCAGTGTCTCCAGAAATATGTTCTGAGATCGAGCTGTGGCGCCTGGAGCCAGCGCCTTGGAGGCCCTGACGACTGACAATGCCCGAAGCAGATACTTTTGGGAGATTTATTTATTTGAAAGGCAGTTACAGAGAGGAAGAGACAGAGGTCTTCCTTCTGCTGGTCCACTCCCTAGACGGCTGCAATGGCCAGGGACTGGGCCAGGCCAAAGCCAGGGACCAGGAGCTGCTTCTTACAGGTCTCCCATGTGGGTGAAGGTACCTAAGCACCTGGGCCACCCTCCACTGCCTTCCCTAGTGCATCAGAAGGGAGCTGGATTCTAAGTGTCCATATGGGATGCCGGCACCGCAGGTACCCACTATGCCACAGTGAGCGCCGGCCCCACAGATACTCATTTTCAAGTCCTCCACTTTGTTTCTGGAAGCACATGAAGCACGTTTATTTTATGAACTGTGCTTTGACAATTCAGGTCTTTTGTTATTCATTCTGTAGCCTTCATCCATATTTCTTTTTGTCAAGTTTTTGCTTTTATTAAATTTTATTTATATTTTAAAAAACACAGTAACCAAGTTTTAAATGTAAAACTAGTGAATTTTCATATTATGTTCACCTCTGTTTAACTACCAGAGAACACACGAGGCGTTTCCATCATTCCCCTTATTAGCTCCTGCCCTCCCCACCTCCATAAACACTACTTTTACTTCTGTCACTTTGCCTAGTTATGCCTGTCCTCACCTTCATATAAGCAGAATAAAGAACGATGTTTGGTGCCAGGCTTTGTTCACTTAATGTTTTCTACTATTCCTCCACATTATCACATTAATAATTTGCTTTGCTTCACATTTTTACCATGTAGTCTTCTGCTGTGTGAACCTACCAGTTTACTTCTAGTGGCAAACTTGTGAATATTTTCTCCCATCCTGCCCTGCATTTTTTGCCTTTTTGTCTTTTATTCTTCATGGTTTGTCTTTTATGGTGTTTTTTGCAAACACTAGTGTCCCAAGATTGCAAAGATATTTTCTCCTAAAAGATTTGGGATTCTACCTATACACATCTTCCGTGTACGGTGAGATGATGATTTATTGTCACTCATACTGACGTCCAGTTGCTCTAGCACTTTTTTTGAGGGGTAAGGAAAAGAACAAAACCAAAACCCAACATGCACCTTAGGAAACGATACACCACAACAACCTGAGCCATCAGTCAGCCAAGTCTACACAGATCAACCACACTGAAGTCTCAACAGCCAAGGTGCAGTAGCAGTGGCTGGCAAATGGGCCGCTACTGCTGGACTGTGAAGGTGCAAGGTGGGGACCTGTGAGATGTTCTGGAGGGCCGGGGAACAGAAGGCCAGGGTCGGGTACTGCCCTCTGCTCCAGCGGATGCGATCACCTGTTTTTGAGTAAATTCCCAGGGATAAGAATATGAAAATGAGAATAAGAAAATGGTTTACTTTTCACTTAGGCTACTAAAATACTTTGTTCTTTGTGTCAATAAGGAAATATTCCCCCAGGAATTAGCCTGTGAAATTCCTATCCCTGTTTCAAAATCTACTTAAATACTGTTTTCTCCATGCAATCTTCATAGATCTAAAATGATGAAATACTGCAATACTGCCACAGAGTATCTAATATACAGTCCATATATCTAGCATACATCTAATATACTTCCATTGGAAGTATATCAAGAACACTTCAAAAACTGTGTGGAGAAATAGAATTAAAAGGGTAAGTTTTAGTGCCAAAAGTTTACAACAATCCATGCAATTTTTTTTTTATATTTTTTTATCTGATCAATATGACCAAACTCAATAAGCTCATCTATTTTTTGATTAAATATTTTTTTATTTAATGAATATAAATTTCCAAAGTACAGCTTATGGATCACAATGGCTTCCCCCCCCCAATAACTTCCCTCCCACCCACAACCCTCCCCTTTCTCGCTCCTTCTCCCCTTCCTCGCTCCTTCTCCCCTTCCATTAACATCGAGATTCATTTTCATTTCTCTTATATACAGAAGATCAGTTTAGTATATATTAAGTAAAGATTTCAACAGTTTGCACCCACATAGAAACACAAAGTGAAAAATACTGTTTGAGTACTAGTTATAGCATTAAGTCACAATGTACGGCACATTAAGGACCGAGATCCTACATGAGGAGTAAGTGCACAGTGACTCCTGTTGTTGACTTAACAAATTGACAATCTTGTTTATGACATCAGTGATCTCCCTAGGCTCCAGTCATGAGCTGCCAAGGCTATGGAAGCCTTTTGAGTTCACCGACTCTGATCATGTTTAGACAAGGTCATAGTCAAAGAGGAAGTTCTCTCCTCCCTTCAGAGAAAGGTACCTCCTTCTTTGATGGCCTGTTCTTTACACTGGCATCTCACTTGCAGAGATCTTTCATTTAGGTCATTTTTTTTTCCCCAGAGTTCTTGGCTTTCCATGACTAAATAGTCTCATGGGCTCTAGAACCAGATCCACATCATGCAATTTTTTGTATTACACATTTCCCATGAACTTTTTGAAGGTATATGTAGGACTTCAAAATCCTTTGCATAAAATTTATCTTTTATATTTTTCCACAAACTTCTCAAAATTTCTTACATGTCTAATTTTTTAGAAAAAAAATTTTAAGATTTTTATTTATTTGAAAGCCAAAGTCACAGAGAGAATCTTCATCTGCTGATTCACTCCCCAAGTGGCCGGAGCTAGGTCAGGTTGGAGCCAGTTTCTTCCTAGTTTCCTTCATTGGTGCAGAGGCAGGTGCCACCCTCTGCTGCTTTCCCAGGCCACGAGCAGAGAGCTGGCTCAGAAGTGGAGCAGCTGGGTCAGGAACCAGCGCCTATATGGGATGCCAGTGTTGCAGGCGGCTCAACCCACTAAGGCCACAATGCTGGCCCCTAAGTCTGACTTTCTATGAGGTCACCTTTGAAGGGGAAAAAATCCAGTGGTTCCCCAGTGGCTTAAGGATATAAACTAAGGTCTATGTTTTAGTTCTAAGACAGCCCATACTGTTCTGATTTACATATTCAGCTTTATTTCTCATTACTCTCTGTTGTGTTTTATCCTGGGTCAACTCCTACAAATCTTTCCTTCAAGAGTTTCTGTGAACACCCCCATTCATCTAGAATGCCCACGAGTAACCAAGTAAGCCCAGGGCTAGTTTCAAAGCACCCAAGTGAGTAAACAAGATGTGACTAACTCTATTCATCTGATCGTGGGCTGCTGGAGATCGCATAAAACTATTGTGCAAACACAGCACCCCAGGACTACACACTTTGAATTGATTCAATACATTAACTAAGGCAGCCAGCTGGCCTATGCAGTCAGGAGGAAAACAAGGAAATCACTGAACACAATGTGCTTGCTTGCCTGAGCTGTCTAATGTCACCAAGTGCTGAGAAACCGAATCACGAACTCACAAATTCCTTCCTCGACATTCAGGAGGGAACCCACACCAGTCTGAACTTGAGACACTTGAGCTAACCCACAGCAACCTCAGCCATCACTCTGCCAGCATCTTCAGCACAAGATGACTGTTGCTTAAGCACACTACTTCAGCTCTACCGTAGCTCCGGGATGCGGAGCATGGCAGTCTGTCCCGGTTTCCTCACCCGCAAGACTTGCAATGTTTCATGTTAGCTGCAATTCTGAAAAACTTAAAACAGATAAAACGTAAAGTGGGCAGACAGCACATTGCACTTTCATCTGTGTGACTTATGTTTCAACCTAACAAATGGTTATTCTCTCATATACTTAAAGATCAATACCATAAAGCCATGGAAAACATGCAGAGATGACTTGACCTTTCGATTTCTAGAGATGCCAGTCTAGCAGATAGAAGGCGCCCCCAAAGATCTGTTGTTGCAATCAACAAACGAGCCTGACACCTAACCTGAAATGGCAAAGCGCTGTTCTGCGCGTAGGAGAACCCTAAGAAAGTCATCACATTTTCATTCCGCCAAAATATACATAAAGAAAAAAACCAAAACAACCACATTTTCATGAATATATTTTAATTTTTTGAATCTTAACAATTCAAGTAAAAGTTGGCTGGATAACATAAATACAGAATAAATGCACATAATTTACAGCAATGTACATAAATCAAGAATAGCAAACCTCACATGAATGGTTAAGTTACCAACTCATTTTAAGTTGACTAATTAGCTACCACTTACAGGTCACAATCTACTCATTCACATACACTGGGGTACACTCAAAAAGCTCATTAACACAAAAACTGAGTGAAGCGACAGTTTATCACTTCAGAAAGGACTAGCGTAAAAGTCAGCGTACAGACACATGGCAAATGTGAGGGCAGGATGGAGAAGCGACACTGAGTAGACAGAAAGCACTGGCTTTACGCACTGTCATGCCCTCCAATTTAAATCATCCCCGAACAACTACACTGTTAGGAATGTTAAAGTCATGATCAACATCAGAGGAGAAAAAGGCTGAACTGCATGTAGCAGCCCCAAGAGTCCCTACAGTACCGAGAGCGCGGGCACGAGAGCATGTAAACAGACAGGCATCAGTGATTCTGGAAGGGTAGGGAATGGACTGACTTCTAGCACTTGAAACACCTTCAAATTCAAATCAATATGCTTGTGATTTAAAACAAATTTAAATATGCTGAAATGTTCACTATTTCTTAACAATCTAAATGCTGTTGGTTTCAACCTGCTGTCATTCCACAGTGTGCATCATGGTTTAGGAGACGGAAGTCTGGATAAATAATCTCATGATATTCTACCAAGGTTTCAAAATGACAAATCAATTATTTATGGGCATGGGGCCCATCCAGTAGGGTTGGTTCTATTAAAATTACACAATGAGAACCATGAGCCAGCTTTGGTGGTACAGGCCCCCCCCCCCCCCCCCCGAATTGAAAGCACTGTATGGTATCCTGCAATCATGGGGCAAGTCCCACATTTGGACTCTGAAATGTACAAAACCGATTCTCTGAGTCACAGGTAGCAGAGGCAGCCAAAGTGGTTTCTGCTGCTGCTCCGCGGGAGGACGTTCTTTTCCAGGATCTACTGCTTTAACCTGAATGTGTTCAGTTCCATTTTCAGAGAAGATTCTACAGTAAAAGCACATTCCAATCTGAAGAGTGTTGACTACCTTACACCAGAAGTAAAGTTATCTACTAGTAGAAACAGATAAAAACAAAACATAGTCTACACTACCCAAAAAGTCCAATGCTTTGAGTTTGAGTATGCATTCTCTTTTTAAATTAAAAAAAATATATATACTCAATTTTAATTTAATTATTCACTAAAAATTTTTGCAAGAAAGATTTCCGAGGCAAACTTTAAATACCTGTTTGAATTATCCTCGTCACACAAAAAATAAACTACAGCAAGTGGTGCTCTTCTAGCTGCTGTACAAACAAGCACGGAGACTCTGTTCCTTCTAGTGCACACAGAAGAGCTTTAGAAGATGAATACGATGCACGGAAGGCCAAATTGGACTTGCTAAATACAAACAGAAATAGCATTCACGGTCATCCTGGAAGGACACTTGTTAGGAATTTGCTACAGCTCTGTAAGGTGTTCCTTCGCTGCTGGTTTTCGTATCACTCTTCACCATTCGCGGGTACTGAGATCAGCGAGAAGAGGGAGGTCTCTGCCCTACATTCAGCACAACTGAGGTGATGGGTCTTCAGAGGCAAATGGCACTGGATTCTTAGGCAGTATCAGTGGCACCCAGAAAGGTAAACACCATAGGTTGAGACTTCTCCACTTTTAAGTTAGAATCTCCTGCTTTTTTTTCTTTTCTTTTTTTGGTATGTTCCTCACAATAAATGTCAAAGCTGAAATTTACTATAAAAAGTAAGGAAACTCAATTTGCCTTTGGTCTCCACATGGACTGGAATATTCGTGATTCCAATTGAGCACCTCAGAAACATCCAGCTATTGTTGACTACAAGAGGTCAGGTTGAAGAAGGTAAGGGGGCACTGCACTTCACTGGTGTCAGCAACGTAAGCTGGCAATCGTGTCGGGGGCACTACAGGGCACACAGAATACTTAAGACATGTATACTGAAGGTCTCCAAAACAATATACCTAAAACCCAAAAAAGTTAGCAACACTGTTTCTGCCCAATACACGGCTAACATTTTAAAAAATATAATTTTATCATGAAATTCTCTACTCTCATACCTCAAAACAAGGCCACAAAGTGCGTTCACAAGGAGTCATTCTGCAGATAAAGCCACTGCACAAAATGCACAGTTAAGGTCTACTGAAATGAATCCCACACTGGAGTTTAATTGTAGACGTTTTATACACCAGTATAGCAACATCCATAGGCAAAGTCTCTTACAGAATTACAACAGATAGCTTCATAAGGGCCATATAGAGAATACATTTAAAGTATTAAAAGGTACAGTTGTCTCAATAGCAAAATTTAAAAGTTATATCCTGTTAATACATTTAACCCAAACTAACTTGAATGCTATGATTTACCGTTCAGAAAATCAGCACAGAATAAATTTCTTGTCAAAAGCAGCTTGTTCTTTTGCCAAACTCTAAGTCAGTTAAGAGCATTACCCACTGAATCAGATGCAGAGGGCCCTCATCTTTAATACTGTTACTGTCGCACATATTAGTTTTAGTATGTTATTTTTTAAAATAAAAACTTGCAAGGGCCAAACAGAAAATTACCAGTTTCTCTACAAAATAATTAAAATGTAATCTACATGGGCTTGAAAACAAATCAAGGGCTCAAATTCTTAAAGTGAAAACAAGTACAGAAAAATTGAGAAGTGGTGTATGTTTTCCACTTGTAATGATACTTAGGTGTGACAAATAGGTAGAAAGTCAAGTTTATATCCAGTAAGTCACTGAAAAGACTACTGCATTCATTCATGTACCATACAATTAGGGAAGATATGAGGACATGCTCAAGTCACTGAAATGGTCAAGAATCAACAATTTACTAGTTTATTTCATCTTCCCAAACCATTACCATGTGAGTTGGATACACTGGCAAACAATTTAAAATCCACATTATTCAAAAGATCAAACACTTGTAAGCTGTGGAAATCAAAATTTAATGTTAAAAATATGTAAGATATTTAGATGCTATCTCATTGGCAGTAAAAAGTGACTGCAAAGCCAAATAACTGAACATAAAATATTGAGCAAGGTCTTCTTGGGAAAATGTGACAGTAATATCAAGGCTCTCCCTATGTTGTTGCTTAACACTTTTACAGGAATTAATAGCCAGAAATCGGAAATTTATGACTGCCAATACTATCTTTGGATAGTTACAGTACGTGTTTAGAATATTGGAGAAGTGCGTGCTTATGGAATAAACACTATACTCTGACTGCCATAAATCAATGAAACACAACTGCATCTGGTGGACATGGTAGAGAAAATGGCAATTTTGCGTAAGGAGTGCTTTGAGAGGCATTTCCTTGGAGGCAGCCAAGGTTTTTCTTTCCCTCATTACTGAAAGATCAAGTAATGCGGTATGGTTACTTAAATTCCTACAACCAAACTTCCACTTAGGCATAGTTACATGTTCCCAAACTACTTTTCTTCCGTCCGCCACGCTGGCTTGGATACTCCATGGTCCACTGCAATCTTTTGGTCTCCCCTCTCTGGAGCAGCCCCACACTGCTATCCATTGAGTAGGTACACCACCAATTCATAGGTGGCCATCATAATGGCTGTGTTTGGAATCTGTCTCACCAGATGAGTTGTTAGGCCACGGTAAAGAGACCCATAACCTTCTTCTTGAACAACCAAAGACAGTGTCTGAAAAAATGATCTATATTTTGTTCCCTCTTCACGTAGTCTTGTTCTTACAACTTCTGTTTGAGAAAGAAATGAAAGAAAAAAATAATTTTGTTTAAACATTACTGATATCTTTACACCATCCTAATTATAAGGAGCACATCTCATTTATCACTTCGTAAGTGTACACTCAAGATAAATGCTGATTTTTAATGTGTAGCCGATTGAAATCAGTCACATCATATTGTAATATAAATTATAATCAAAGCCATATACACTAGTCATGAAATTTTATAGGCTTCTAAAAAGTATAAAAAGATACAAAGAGACAAAAGAGAATTATCCATTGTATGCTATGTAATTAATGAGGGCGGAACTGATCTGATGAGAAAAATATGAATAAGCAGCAAAGGGAATGGAAGTGGTATCAAAGGTGAACATAGATACAGTGAGAAACAGGTAAAAAGATTTAAAAAAATAAAGTGGACAGTACACAGAGAACACAGATTAATCTATTCACAACACTCCACGTAAACCAATGTGAAATGGCAAGTGGATAAAGAAACAAACACTAGCTGCCGGCTACAAGGCCCAGCCTGGGAATCAACTAGGAAGTGGATCTTAACGATGACTCCAATTTTTCTTCATTTTAAAGGTGAGAAGTGGGAGCTGCTCAGGTTTTAATTGTACAGCTTGGATAAGATTTTAATTTCCAATTTAAAAATGTAATGACTCTTTCACTATTTTTGAAACATTTCAACAAGGTACTCTTGATGGGTCTCAAAAAGCCTAAGGCAGTCCCCAGCAAAGGCGAAAGTGTATTTGAAACTTCCCTGTCATGTTTTGAGAGTCACGCCACTTACACACTTAACTCCAAATACCTCCTTTATCAACTATACCTCTTCTCCCAATGACATCATCACACTTCAAAGTGACAAGATTGCTGTTTTTCCAAAAAAGATTTATTTATTTGAAAGGCAGAGGGACAGAGATGGAGAGATCTGCCATCTGCTGTTTCACACCCGGAATGGCCCTAATAGCCAAGGCTGGGCCAGGAACCAGGAGCTTCATCTGGGTCAATCTCATTGGGTAACAGGGGCTCAAGTACTTCCTAGGCATACCAGCAGGGAGCTGGATCATAAGTGGAGCAGCCAGGACTTGAACAGGCACTCATATGGGACTACAGCTTTGCAAGTGTGACACCAGCCCCAGGACAGGATTTTTTAATTCCTCAAGCTCTATCCTTTCCTTCAGCAGGCACTGTCTTAACCCACACGGGAGGCCTGAACCTCAACAAGGTTGTGGATATGTGCTACTCTGACTTCCATTAGTGGAACCAGCAGCCTCCTTGAAGAAACAGATGGGTAAATTCACAGTCCAACTAGGCTAATAGTTGGTTTCATAAATTACATTTTAGAGCAAATATTAATTTTCTAGTCCTATTTCATTTATCCTGATAGGATATAAGTGGCAGGGCAGGGGCTGGGGGCAGACTATAATATTAACCAGTGTAACAAAAGTGAAGCAGATTTGGAATTAGACTCCAGTTAGGATCTGGGCTCCACTGCTGATATGACTTTGGGTTACGTTACTTAATTTTCTAAAAATTGGTTCTCAGTTTCCCATTTGAAAACAAGGACAATTCTGATTATGTTCTAGCATAGCTAGACTTAGACAAAGAAGGTTACGGGGCCAGTGCTGTGGTGCAGTGGGTTAAAGCCCTGGCCTGAAGCGCCGGCATCCCATATGGACGCCGGTTCTAGTCCTGGCTGCTCCTTTTTTTTTTTTTTTTTTTTGACAGGCAGAGTGGACAGTGAGAGAGAGACAGAGAGAAAGGTCTTCCTTTTGCCGTTGGTTCACCCTCCAATGGCCGCCGCGGCCGGCGTACTGCACTGATCCGATGGCAGGAGCCAGGCGCTTCTCCTGGTCTCCCATGGGGTGTAGGGCCCAAGTACTTGGGCCATCCTCCACTGCACTCCTGGGCCACAGCAGAGAGCTGGCCTCAACCGGGACAGAATCCGGTGCCCCGACCGGGACTAGAACCCAGTGTGCTGGCGCCGCTAGGTGGAGGATTAGCTTAGTGAGCCGTGGTGCCGGCCTTGCTCCTCTTCTGATCCAGCTCTCTGCTATGGCCTGGGATAGCAGTAGAAGATGGCCCAAGTTATTGCGCCCCTGTACCTGCATGGGAAACCCAGAAGAAGCTCCTGGCTCCTGGCTTTGGATGGGCGCAGCTCCTGCCGTTGTGGCCATCTGGGAAGTGAACCAGCGGATGGAAGACCTCTCTCTCTGTCTCTACCTCTCTCTGTAATTCCATCTTTCAAATAAATAAAATAAATCTTTTTTTAAAAAAAAAAGGAAAAAAAAAAACTAAAGAATAATAATAAAAGAAAGTTAAGTACTCTAGACCATGTTTATGTAAATTAGCAATAATACAATGAAAGTATTTACTATAGCCCCCATTTAAACACAAATATTTTTCAGAAACTTACTGGAAGGTCTCTAGCTGATCCAGTATGGCTGGAATTTGACTATCTGACTCTAGAGTGCACGTGTGACCACCATTATGCTACATCACAGCATACACTGCCCCTTTAATCAGCTGCATCAGCCCATTGCTAACTCAAGAATGCTGTTTTACCAGAGTTCAGTAAAAATTATAAATGCTCTAGTAAGCAAACTGGTGGCTGGCATGCGACATATTTCTTATGGAATACAATATTATTATTACGCAATTTCAGCTCTTCTCACCATGAGGGTATGCGATAGTTGTGGCACAAGTCTTTGAGGTGGCTGCAGCTAGCATCATTCCCACAAAATCTGATGCTTCCTTCACAGACTCTTCATCGTTTTCCATCATAGAGGCAGTCTTACATTCCAGCAGTTTTTGCTTTATACTTTCATAAATAACAAAGTGGATAACAGTCTCTGATATGCCAGCATAGGAAGCAGACATGCCCCTGTAAAATCCTCTAAGTCCATCTGTCTGATATACTTTGCGAACACATTCAAAAGCACCCAATCGCTTTTCCCCACGGCTCCTGAAAAGGAAAAGGGAGAAATCTTATTGACATATCATTTATATATATATATTTATGTAAATATATAAGTAAATAAAGTAAATGAAATAGAGTAAAAATATACCAAAATGCTCTTCTTTAAATCATGAAGAAGTGAAATCAGAATTTAAAATAAATTTGTTTTCATTTGCTTGAAAAAGCAGATAGAGCGCATAAACGAGCAAGCGTGTGTGCACACGCACTATCTTCCATCTGCTAGTTCGCTCTCCAAATGTCCACAACAGCCAGAAATGGGCCAGAACAAAGCCTGGGGCCTTGAACATGAGTGGCAGGGTCTCAAGTACCTGAGCCATCACCTGCTGCTTCCCATGATGCTTCAACAGGAAGCCAGATGAGAAAACATAGCAGCCAGGACCGGAACTGGCACTCCCGTATGTGATGTGACCATCCCAAGTGGTGGCTTAACATACTGAACCACAATACCTGCCTGCTTTACAATCACAATTTTAAGACAACATTCATATTTTCTGTCCCATCCCAAGTTGTTCATATTACACGAGTAAGATATAGTAACATTTCACTTAATGCAAAATCCACTACATACTATTATCAGTGCCAGGTCCTCCTCTGGGGTTCAAACAACAGATCCGCTAGGCACTATATGCAACTCAAAACACTGTTTTGCATAACAACAAAACAAAGTACACAATACTCCTCACACTGTATTAATGCCAGTTCTAAGTAAGTTGAATTTCCTTTGCATTTAGTAACACAAAAACTAATGATGATGGTCCTCATAAAGTAGGGAATATGATTAATTAGCTTGCTTGCCCTTGAAGAGTTAACAACTCCTTTTAGCCCTTTCCCAAAAGTGACTGGTGAATATAAATAAAACTCTCCATGAGCATATAAAAGCAATGGCTATATTAGTATTGCCAGTGAAAAGTAAATGGGGACCTGTACAGCTATCGGATTTATTCAGTATTGTTCAAGACAGTTGCCTTAGTGCTACTTAAGGGTACAGCACCTACTCTTACAGGGCATAAAACCTACTCCTACATATGCGTGTGATTTTTAGTTTGTAAAAACAAAAATTAACTACGTTATACCATGATTCCCCCAAAAAGAAATGAGTTTAAACACTACCTATGGGGAGATAAAGAGGAGTTATAATTTGTCTTACATATCAAAATAAAACCATAGCTAAAACACTTACCAGATGACCTACAGATGCCTCCAGTTTTATGAACTAATGACTGACTTTTCTGAGTATCTATTTAGTTGAAGGATCCAAGCAACCAACTCTACCTACCAGTTTCTGGTGCCACTGGTTCTCTTCCACAAGAAAGCTACGACACAAGTCTAGAAGGAAGACCTGTAGACATACCAGCCTTATTTTTGACCTTAGAGTTGTTAAGTTAGAATACTCTAATAGTCAAGCTTTACTATTACCCCACACTACCCCATTCCCCATCCCTGTACTAGCTTGTGCTACAATTTAAAGGGGCAAAAAAATTAAGAGTTTTAAGCCATGCTTTACCTAATCCCCTAGTTCTATGTTGAAACATAACTCTGAGGGCCGGCGCCGTGGCTCACTAGGCTAATCCTCCGCCTTGCGGCGCCAGCACACCGGGTTCTAGTCCCGGTTGGGGCACCGGATCCTGTCCCGGTTGCCCCTCTTCCAGGCCAGCTCTCTGCTGTGGCCAGGAAGTGCAGTGGAGGATGGCCCAGGTGCTTGGGCCCTGCACCCCATGGGAGACCAGGAGAAGAACCTGGCTCCTGCCATCGGATCAGCGCCGTGTGCCGGCCGCGGCGGCCACTGGAGGGTGAACCAACGGCAAAGGAAGACATCTCTCTCTGTCTCTCTCTCTCCCTGTCCACTCTGCCTGTCAAAAAAAGAAAAAAAGAAACTAACTCTGATAGCTTACAATCCAATATGTGGATAGGCATCTCAAACTTGAGGTTTAGTCTTACCTATCATTTTTCAGATTTATGGCACTAAGAAATTTTGCTACAACTGAACATTTCACTAAAAGCAGTACTGCAGATGAAACAATTAGACATTGCCAAATCTTCAAATAGCATATAACTCTACATGACAGATGTAGAAAAGATTATCTAAGCAACTGCAATTAATTGTTAATGATTTATTAGATCAGGTTTGTTTATAGCTTACAGAATACAACACTGCTTCCAAAATTCCAAAAATACAAGAACTGCATAAATGTCTGATACACAGAACCCACTCTAGACTGAAGTCTGTAACAGTTCAAAATGTTAAAATCATCATTATTATAATCACTAGATAAGACCATCTCTTGGGGCTGGTGCTGTGGCACAGCGAGTTAAAGCCCTGTCCTGAAACGCCAGCATCCTATATGGGCGCCGGTTCTAGTCCTGGCTGCTCCACCTCTGATCCAGCTCTCTGCCGTGGCCTGGGAAAGCAGTAGAAGATGGCCCAAGTCCTTGGGATCCTGCATCCACGTGGGAGACCCGGAGGAAGCTCCTGGCTTCAGATTGGCATAGCTCCGGCCATTATGGCCATCTGGGGAGTGAACCAGCAGATGGAAGACCTCTCTCTCTCTGAAGCTCTACCTCTCTAACTCTTTCAAATAAATACAATAAATCTTAAAAAAAAAAAAAAAAAAGCCCATCTCTCTATTTCACAGTATTACCCTTCCCCATTCCATATCCTAAGGCTAACAGGAGCTGATATGGGCGACCCTAAGCTGCACTGCTTCTGGTTTCCTCAGTTTCCAGGTTATACCAAATGCCTAGACCTTAGGACTCTGAGTTTTATGGTCGACTGTTTCTTCTGCTTAAAATGAAAAACCAAACTTTCTTGATTATCCCATTTAAAGCTGGTCCCACTGTTTCCTTTGTTTATTTTTAGAACACAGCAGTATCTGTTTACTATAGATTTGTTGATGGATGAATCTTGGTATTCTCAAGCAATTCTAACAGATGAATCTATATATATGACTGCCACCAAACCAGGCAGCAAAAGGTTACGAGGAAAACATAGTTAGACCCCTAACACCAAAATCTTATGAAATACATTTCCAGGAAAAAATTAGCTAAATCCATAGAACTAATTTTATTTTAAAGAATCAACATACCTTGCATCAAGTTGTAACCGAGTCTTTATAAGCCAGATGGGGTTAGTTGCTGTGATCGCAGTAAAACCTAGACAAACATGTTTAAAATGAACTCCAGTAAAAATAAAGAACATAAACATTTAAAAATCATATGAATCTATAGTAAAGAATACTCAGAAATACTTAAAGGGCTAATTGATAGACGCTTTATACTTTTATTGTACAAATCCATACAACCATAAGCATTTGTCTTCACTTTCAATCTACATGAATTTTCAAATTCTGACCTTAACTAAAAGATTCTTTTAAGAACAAAATCTGACTATATACACAGTGCTCTCCCAGCCTACTCAGAATATCCTTTTGGGTGCTCTCTACTATCTAAGCCGAATTCAGAAACCCATTTCTGTAGCCAAACATACAGGAATTTTGTTTATTCTAGGGCTAAAAAGCATGCACTCTACCACAGCTACCTGGTAGTCCAATTAGTATCACAAAACCACTACATTCAAAGTGGATTCTACATAAATGGATCATTTACTGTTATTGGACATTTGGTTGATTATATAACCAAAAAGACTATTGTATAGCCCCACAGATACTTTCTAAACATGCTTACTAAAAGTTTCAGAATCAGGGTCACTACAAAGGTAAAGTTTCTGTTAGGATTAACAGGACAGATCTATTTCTTCATCTACTTAGACACATTAAAAAATCTCAAAAATGAAAAGGTTACAAATTAGAACTTTCCTCTCACTTTTATAGACACTGAATAAAGAAATTCAGAAGAGAAGCTAGCTCTGATTGACTTTAAAACTAAAGTTCTCTCTCTTCAACAACTATTAAAGAAGGCTGGCCACCCAGATGTGCCTCATGCCAGCCAGTAAATGACAACCTCTGGAGCAGTATGCTTCTAGGCGCATGCATTAGCTTTTACTTGCCATCTTCCTATTTACAGGAAAATTCCACACAAAATGCAATCTTGATGATGGGAATTTAGGAAGACTGTCTCATAACAGGGCTTTAAATAGACTGCATTTACATCTAAGATCAGCTACACAAACTTCATAGGACTACTTACATCAGGCTACATTTATTCAGCTGGCCTTCACATAATATGAAAACTTGCATGAAGATATGTCTAAAGATCTCAACTGTTATAATTTTTTTTTATCAAATACTATTATGTCAAGCACATTAGTTTTAGAAAAGCAGACTACAATCAGCACATTTAACATGAGTAAAGTACTTTCAGGAACAAAAATACTGTGATATACTTAGGAATAATCTATTTTTAAAATTGACACATAGAACAGAACCAATTGAAAAAGCTACTACTACTGGCTTTCAAAACTAGTACAAGCGTTATCTACATATGCAAAATACTTTTACTAAACTATTTACAGAGCTGAATTTGGCCTCACAAGGTTCCTTCCCCTTCCACGATGTCAGGCAATTAGCTAACTCAAATTTTACTCCAGTGACCCCATTTATCACTGTAAAAATAGCTAGCTGTTACACAAAAGGACATCCCATTAAATGTATTCAGGAAGCAGGATAAATGGAATGAAAACTGTTTAATAACTCCTTTAACAATTTTATAACAATAGCCTCTATTTTTCTTATGTGCTTTTAATATTAATATGTAACTATAAAATTAGAATGGGACAATGATTTTAGAAGCATCAGTTAAGTACTAAAATGATACAAATTTAAAAGGTTAGGCAGACTATTAGGAACATCTGTTTCAGTGGAAGGTTCTTTTTATATATATATATTCTTGGTAAGAGGGAAGAAAAGCATGAAGCTATCAGAGCAACTAAATATTCTTCTTACATGGCCTAGTTTAATTAGAACAAAGTTATAGAGTATTATTTTTTATTCTTTTCAATCTCATTTTTTTAAATGAAAAAGTTATTTAAATTATTTTAAAGATATTTAGATTTATCTTTTAAGGCAATCAGATATCATTGCCCTGGTCAAGCCCCAATTTAAGGATTTGTATTTTTTAAAATTAGAGATTTATATTAACTTAATTTCGGGATAGTAAGATGAAAGGTTTATTAGTGAAAAGCTGCTAAGCGGAAAAAAACAACAAAATGTTCTACCTTATTCACACTGGTTTTTTGCAATCATCTGTAGAAATTTTAAATTAAGAAAAGTATTTGCTTTTTACTCAATTTTAGAAAAAATTTTTAAAAAAGGGCTGCCTAGATAAAAATTCTCAATTAATTATGCTGTATTTGAAAAGAAGATATGTACCAATTTTTTAAAATAAAAATTCTATGTATGAAAATGTGAACTTAGTATCAAAGCTTCTGCTCATAATATTCTTCCAGGTCATAAAATTCCTTAATTTGAGGCTGGGAAAAATCCATATATATATAACTTTAAAATATTACAACAAATATTTATAAATTTACTAGGACTAAAAATCTATAAAGACCTGTACAATATAATCTGAAATTATTCTCTGTACATTATTAATAAACAATGTGGGAAGCAAACAACAGGTATTTCTCACTTAACTAAAAGACATTTCCAGGCACGAATTAACCTATGTCATAAGACATACTAAAATTTAGGTAAGTGAGAGAATGTTATCTTATCTCTATGTAGCTGTTGCTATCAATAAGCTACACTTATTATAGTTGTTCTGGCTCACCTCCCCCTAACTAGTCACTCCCTGAGGGACTACTCTAACTGCCAGCACACTACCAAGAATCTAGGCACACTCCACAGGCCCATAGTCACTGGTTCTGAATCAGTTAAAACTCTGACCCTTGACTTTTATGCTATTACTTTCTCCTAACCAAAGGCACTTTTAACAAACTCCAGTAGACATTTTAGGCTAAATTACATCTAGTAATTCAAAGAACGAAACAAACAAAAAGAAACAAAATACTACCACTAACTTAGGCAATTCGAGGTTAGCCAAAGCTGAACAACTTCCTTCTAAGACAAATACACATGAAGATATTGAGAATGATGCCCTTTGAATTTACAGATTGCTTATTACTTTTTATTATGCACTTTAATTTTGTGGACATTCTGATAATACAACAATAACTTATACTAATATTCTGAGCATCCACTGATACATTAAAACAGACTTAAAAAGAAGATATGAGAGATCCATTTGTAGGTTAAGCATTAAGACTGCTTCATAGTGGCTTAAAGTAAAGCGCCAATCCAGTGGCAATAGTGTTAGTGGTGTGTTAGTGCTTCATTAGAAAGCCTTAACATTTTTAAATGCGATTTTCAAAGTCTTGACTTAAGAGTACATTTGATCTAAGAGCCCATTTGGTAATAAAAATCAACAAAAAACCAAATTAACAGAAAAATCTGGTTATAGCAAACTTGCCGAAAATGTTTATTTCATTAAGTGAGTGATACCTGTAGTGTTGCATTTTCACTACTTTTTATTTCAGTTAACTTCTGTAAGAACGAAATCCACCTAGCCTCCTAAGAGAAATGTTATCATTTACCTATTTTAAAACCTAATTAAAACTAAAACAGGTAAGATCCCATTTTTTTTAATCCTGCATTTATTTGGAAAGTAATGGTACAAAGATTGCTATTTTGGCAAAAAAAGCAGAAAGCCAAGAACTAACACACAAGAGAATGGAAAGCACTACAGTAGAATTTTAAATGTTATTGCTAAGCAAAGAGAGCTACTATTTTATCTAGAAGGAGTTAGGATGGTATGATGCCATGTACAACTGTGTATATACACTATTATCAGATTCCTTGGAGGTCAAGGCTGTTACCGCCAAGCTGAAGACCCCACGCTGCTATTACACGATGACCTGAAAGTACCCCATTCTTCCTTCTAAAAGGATTATAAAGGGATCATAATTAAATTTTTATGGAATACTCAATAATGCACACACAAATTCAGGAAATAAAAGTTCATTTCCCGCCTTCTACTAATTCCACAGCTATCATAAAATCCCAGGGTGTGTTTCTTATACTAGAGGCTGCAAGAGAGGCTCAGATCAGTACTCACGAGGTTTAAGTTAGTCCATATTTCTACAGGAAGTGACCTGCGGATGGGGAGCATGAGATGACACGATCTCACTCTTTTCTCGGGAGAAATGTACAGTAAATGCCTAAAATAGACACAGGCTTTTCTGTATCATAACAACAAGCAGTGACCTCATCAGAAACATGTGTACAAATTGAATCCCACTGGAAGGATTTGAGAAATATTTACTGTGAGATCTAACTTTAAAAAATTTTTAGGTTAAAAAAAGAATGGATTATCAGAATGGGCCATAATTTTTTTTTTTTAAATGCACGAGTACTGAAAATCCTGCCATCTGGAGCAGTTTCAGAGTCCAAATACTTACCTAAAAGAAGATCAACCTTGCCTTAAAGAAAAAATGCTAACCTTGTCAAATGGAAATCTAAGAAAATGTTTAGAGGGGGTTATCACCTCATTTTCCTACCATTATTATCTATCATGATCAAAGAGTTGAAAGCACAATTTTCTATCTTTGAACAATCACCCTACTTAGTAAATCTTAAAAAAAATTTCAACAGAATATTCAAATAACTTCATTTTGGAACTATTTATAATTTGTTTTTATAAAATAAAGCATATGTTGCTACAATAGTACCTTTCACCTTTTGCACTATGGCCAGTAATATTGCACATCCATACTTATGGAATATTTTGGATTATTTTGTATTTAATTTCTTGTATTCTACAAAACAAAAAAACAGGAAGAATGTTTACACATAAACACACAAAACATCTGTCCAACCATCCATTTGGCTGAATGAACTGCCATGGACAAATAAAATAATTTAAAAATATTTTATATATGCATGACAAAATTTGTATTTAATAAATAAAGCTTAACCTTTAATAGTGAACCTTATGTCAAATAGAAAAATATATCTTGAAAAATAATAGAGCATGCCATAAGCAAATAAAACCCACTAGGTATGTAGGAAACAATAACCACTTACATTACTGGTGTTTTAAGAATTGAGCATAACTGTATGAATATATAATCTAATAAAACTGGAATGCACTTCCTTTACATTTATAATATGTATATAAAAGGACGTAAGTGCCAGATAAGACAACCTTTAAAATTTAGGAATTACATAAAGAAGAAACATAATACAATTTTTTTTGTATACACACAAGTGTCTAGGTGTATACTGAGGGATAGTCAAGTTCATTTAAACAAAATACACAAGCAAAACGCAGAAATCCTCAACAGGATATGTAGGAGGCAACAGGGAAGTAAAACTAAGAGTCAACATCACTTAATAGGATTAACTATTCTTCACAACTAGGGACTTTTTTTTAATGCATGAAAATTTACAGCTAAATTTTAGAGGCTTACAAATTCTAACAGTAATCACTTGTAACACTACAAAACATGAGAGAAAGTCCTACTTTAAATAAACTGTCCCTTGAGTTTTTTGGCATCTAAAACTAAATACTTGAATTCATATGAATAAAGTAAAAAAAACAAAATTGAATTGAGAGGTTACTTGAAATTAAAATTATAGTAATTTGATATCTGTGCTACTGGTGTGGCAAAATCTTACAGGTGGTATCATTTTCTGGTATATTTCAGTGGAGTTTTGGTATTAAAGTGACAAGGTTAGCATTTTTTTGTTGTTGTTGAATAGCCAGTGAGAAAATAATTTTTCACATGACTATCTCTAAGTACTTTATACTCCCAAATCATTCATTTTTAGACTTCTAAAAAAAGATCCTGAAGAAAAACCAGAGCAGTCTGGTTTAGATTATTTCAAGAATGAAGGGCAAAAGTCTACCTGAATGAGTCTGCACTGAACCATTCAGTTTCATCAACCATGTAGTATGTACAAAACTGCCAAGCTAAATGTGAATGCTCATGAACAGTGCAAGGAAGCTCTGAAAGCACGTTTCTCAGATTAAAACTGCAAACAAATGAAAAAAGTATTTTCATATTAAACAGTAAGTGCGCAGTGCAATCATCTCTGAACATGTATAAGACTCAAAGTTTATCGAAATTCAAGGAATTAAAGTTGGACAATAGTTACGAATGTACAGATAAAAGCAAACTATTAGCTAACATTTGCACACATTTGAGAAAAAAACTGCAAAATGAAAATTCTACTGAGACTTTTTGCAAACAAACAATAATAAATTCTGATGAGATATTCTAATGAAGTAAGGGCTTTAAGACATTTGGAACTTCTAAATTTGTAATACTGAAAAAATATTCTGTTTAAAATGATTGCTCATCACTTTCTTGATTTCAATTTATTCAGAAAAGAAAAGATTTCTTATATAATTTTGAGGGGTTAAAAATAAAAAAACATAAATATTGGTAATCCAAAAATATATTTTTAAAGAATCTAACATACTGGTTAAAGGTTTGTCATAAGCTACTAACTTTTACCTGATACTCACTCAAGATTATAAGGTAAAAATGACAGCTTCAACATCTGTAAAAAGGACAGTAAAAAAAATCTAGCTAGATAATCTCTATGGCACCAAATGAAAGAACTAATTCTCAAAACTCAAATCTATGTAAACCAACTTACTTGTTCCATGAATAAGATAACAGAGATTTAATATAAATTATATAACTTGCTCCAAATCTCCTTAATAAATGAGAGTATTTCACTATCCTGATCTTTGAAGTTGTCCTTTCCAGCTTTAAAACCTCAAAGTGTCAACAGTTATTAAATATAAAAGGCTTGGAAACAATTTTTAAGGTATATGCTAGAGATCCATAGTATCGGTTATCACACGAACATTTTATAAATTCATATTTCATAAAACAGTTGTTTTAAATATGTGGTTCAAATTGATCCAATTTATTTCTAAACTGAAAATTTTTAACAGTTTAAGGCACTCATTACTAAGCACACAGTTGACCAGAAAACTGCAAAGAATTTTCTATTGTAAACAAAGTTCAAGGCTTTGTTTAACATGCATGGCAGCAAATGATTCCAGAACTGCATTGGCCAAACCAATCCCTCACAGTGTATCTTCAAGGTAGTGCAGAGACCTGGGACTAATTATTTTAATGCAGAATCATTTATACTCATCAGTGATGATAAAAGAGCTTCTGGAAACATTTCTTTAGCAAGCATGTATACATAGCCAGTGTCAAAATTTTAGGTGCTATGTGGTCTGATTTGCGTGGAATGACAACCAGATTTTTACACATTATTGAAACTCTGAATTATTAGTAACATATCACTCACAAAAAATTCAGCATTTGAGCACAGGACAAAATGAATACATTACCAAGAATTGCCGGCACATTTCAGACAGAAGCCAAAACATGCGCAAAAAGGGAAAAGGCACTAACAGAAAATTGAGGAGAAAAGAGTAAATTACAGTTTCATGACTTATGCTGTAATTATGGTTGGATTCTTAAAACTTAAAAGTGATCACTAGATATTCACTGGACTACACAAGGCAATATAAATATTATCACTTAAACTCCTAATTACAGAAATCCCACTTAGCAGAATTTATATATACCTAATCAAATTTGTTTTACAGTAATAAATGTAGAAATCATCTTTGCAAATGTTAATCAATGAAACCACATTAACGATCTTAACTATACAATATGAACTCATCACAATTCAATATTAAATCTCTAGGTTTCAAAAAATTTTTGTTTTTTTAATATTATACTTTCATACCTGCCATTGCAGCTGAAATCATGTGTACCTGCGTAGAATCAGGATCAAATACACCATTCAACTTTTCCTTGCAGTTTGAATAAGCAGCAAAGTATATTGCTCTAAAATAAAGATTTGAATTTATCAATGAGTATGTGGCTTAATCTAATTGCAAATTTTTCATAATTTTAACATAGAGAAATCCCAAAACAAATTTTACCTACATTCTCATGGAATATCAGATTAATTTAATTTTCTCAGTGAGAATACTGAAGTAGTTTTTTTCTATCATCTAGTTAAAAAAAGGCACTTCAATATTAAGTTCCTAGTGTCCACCCTCAAACAGAATCCCATCCCCACCACTCTGGTGACCACAAGGCAACAGACTAACCGAAGCACAAACTGTGTAACGTTTTGATGACCGGAAATCACATGAATGAGTTAAGGATGTAAGGTTTGTACAATGCTAAGGCTAACGAAGTATGCTTAATCAAGTAAATGCGGTACGAGCACTTAACAATTGCACAATTTTTTGCTAGGAGAGGGGGTAAGAGTTAAACCAATGGATCAAAGTATATGGTAGGGGCCAGTGCTGTGGCATAGCAGGTAAAGTTGCAGTGCCGGTATCCCATATGGGCGCCAGTTTGAGCCCCAGCTGCTCCACTTGCGATCCAGCTCTCTGCAATGGCCTGGGAAAGCAGTAGAAGATGGCCCAAGTCCTTGGGCCCCTGCACCCTGGTGGGAGACCCGGAGGAAGCTCCTAGCTCCTGGCTTCGGATCGGTGCAGCTCCAGCCATTGCAGTCAGTTGGGGAGTTGAGCAAGTGGATGGAAGACCTCTCTCTCTCTGCCTCTCCTTCTCTGTGTGTTTGACTTTCAAATAAATAAATAAATCTTAAAAAAAAAAATCAAACAAATAAAAGTTGCAGAAGGTGTGAGAAAGTCACAGAAGATATGAAATAAATAAATAAATAACTGAATTAGTAGGGCCGACACAGTGGCATAGCAAGGTTAAGGCTGCCGCCTCAATGCAGGCATCCCACATGGGCACCAGTTTGCGTCCTGGCTACTCCACCTCTGATCCAGCTCTCTGCTAATGCGCCTGGGAAAGCAGCAGAGGATGGCCCAAGTGCTTGAGCCCCTGCACCCATGTGGGAGACTCAGAAGAAGCTCCTGGCTCCTGATCGGCTCAGTTCTGTTGTGGCCGGAAGATCTCTCTCTCTCTCTCTCTCTCTCTCTCCTCTCTGCCTCTACTTCTCCCTGTAAATTTTTTTTTTTTTTTTTAAAAAAGACTGAATTAGTAAAATTGCATCAACAGTAGACAGGGGCAAACTGTGACTTGAGTTAGGGTGCTATCTAACCCTGAAACAACAAAAGTATCCATAGTTTCAGAGGAAATAAGCAGGCTGCTCAGAAATTCTAGAGTATAGCCACAATGAAGGCAGATTACTAATCCTCCATATGCAGAAGAGGCACACCAGCAAGCACCCAAGATTGTGCAGGGAACCACTTCATTTCCAAGGGGCTAGGAAGCAACTACCTAGGAACTGAAATTTCCAAATGCTTGAAGATTTCAAAATAGGTGCTTTGGGGAAACTCAATGAAATTCAAGAGAAAACAGAGAAAAGGTTCAATATTCTAACAGAGACTTGATAGAGATGTGGAAATAATTAAACAAAATCAAGCAGAAATCCTTCCACTGCAAATGTACCAAGTGAAACAGAAACACTATAGAGGGCATCAACAAAATAGATGGAACAGAATTTAAAAAAATCAGTGAGCTTGAAGACAGGCTACTTGAATATACACAGTTGGAGGAGAAAAAAGAGAAAAGAATCAAAAGGAATGAAGAAATATGGGACAGTATGGAAAGGGCAAGTATTCTAGTTATTGACATTCAAGAGAATGCCAAAGAGGCAGAAGAAATTTCAAAGACATAGTGACAGAGAACTTTCCAACCCAGAGCGAGACACAACTGTCCAGGCAAAGGAAGGTCAAAGGACACCAGGAATATTCACCCTAATCAAGTCTGCCCCAAGACATATCACAGTCAACAGGTTAAAAATAAAATTCTAAAACTGTAAGAGAAAAGAAGAAAATAACACATAAACAGGACTCAAGATGCCTGAATGCAGACTTCACAGCGGCAATCTGACTGGTCAGGAGGGGGTGGGATGACACTTTCAGTTCTGAAGGGAAAAAAAATAAACAAAAATGGAAAGAATTTATCACCACCAGACCACATTACAATAAATGCTAAAGGAAATTCTTCAAACTGAAAGGGATGCTAGCAAGTAAGAAGAAAATATCAGCAGGCAAAAAGCTCACTGGCAAGAGTAACCATACAAATTTAGAATGTTTAAGATTGTTAACATGGTGGACAAACCATTTATATCTTTACTATGAATAACAAAAAAATCATAATAATTACATTAAAATGCTAAGATACAGGTGATATCAAAAGAGATTAAATGTAACATCAAAAATTCAAAATGTGGAGAGGAACGAGGTACAAATGCGGAGTTCTTTATTAGGATTTCCTACCTCTTCATTTTTTTTATCTCTTTCCTACCTTTATAATCAACATTAAGTTTTCATTATTTCAAAAAGTCTATTATAGCCAAATGAAGATTTTTGTAAGCCTTATGGTAACCACAAAGAACCTACAACAGATTTACCAAAAATAATAAGCAAAGAATCAAACAACGCTAGAGAAAAATCGCATATCCACAAAGAAGATTATAAGAAAGGGATTACAATAAAAATACAAAATAAGTATGAAAATGATAGTAATAAGACCTTACCTATCAACTATCTTAACTGTCAATGGACTAAATTCTCCAATTAAAAGACACAGAGTAGGCCAGTGCTGTGGCAGCGGAGGATGGCTCAAGTGTTTGGGCCCCTGCACCCGCATGGGAGACTGGGAGGAAGCACCCGGCTGCTTTTGGATCAGCACAGCGCTGGCCGTAGTGGCCATTACAGGAATGAACCAACGGAAGGAAGACCTTTCTCTCTGTCTCTCTTACTGTCTAACTCTGCCTGTCAAAAAAAAAAAAAAAAAAAAAAGACACAGAGTAACCAGCTGAAAGGATGGAGCAAGATATTCAAATGGGACCCCAAAAAAGTAGGAGTAGCCATATTTCTTTAATAAAAAATAAATTTTAAATGTAAAACAGTAAAGAGAGACCAGGACGGTCATTATGATACAGATTTCAATTCAATAATACAAAATAATATACACACACACAATACTGATATATACATATATCACATATTAATAGATATAAAGGGAGGGGCTGGCGCTGTGGCACAGCGGGTTAATGCCCTGGCCTGAAGTGCCGGCATCCCATATGGGCGCCGGTTTGAGACCCGGCTGCTCCACTTCCTGTCCAGCTATCTGCTGTGACCTGGGAAAGCAGTGGAAGATGGCCCAGGTCCTTGGGACCCTGCACCCACGTGGGAGACCCGGAAGAAACTCCTGGCTCCTGCCTTCAGATCAGCGCAGCTTCGGCCGTTGTGGCCAATTGGGGAGTGAACCATGAGATGGAAGACCTTTCTCTCTCTCTGTGTAACTCTTTCAAGTAAAATAAATAAATATTAAAAAAAAAAAAGATATAAAGGGAGACACAGACTCTAATACAATAGTAGTAGGGGACATTAACAAACCACTTTCAGAAACGGACAAATCATCCAGACAAAAAAATCAACAACAACAAAAAAAGCAAAGTTTTTCCCTGGATCAATTGGACCTAACAGACATCTATAGACTTTTCCCTCCAACAACTACAGAATACCTATTCTTCTCAACAGCATACTGAACAATTTCCAGCAAAGATCATATGTCACGTACAAAACAAGTCTCAATAAATTCAAAAGAACTGAAACATCAAATACCTTTGCTGACCACAATGCAATAAAACTAGAACTAAATAACAAGAAAGACTTTGGAAATCTTGGAAATAACAAGAACAATACATGGAAATTAAATAATTTGTTCCTCAACAATCAACAGAAGAGGGATGAAATCAAGGAGGAAATTAAAAAAGCTTCTTGAAGTGAATCAAAATGGAAATGCAACATATCAAAATTTGTGACATACAGCAAAAGCACAGTTAAGAGAAATTTATAGAAATAAGTGGAAACATCAAAAAAAAAAAAGATTTCAAATAAACCATTTAATGATGCACCTTAAGGACTTAGAGAGGGATGGGAAAAAAAACCTTAGCAGGAAGCAAGAAATAAACAAAATTGAAACTAAAATTACAACAAAAGATCAAAAAATGAAAAGCAGGTTTTTGGGAAAAACAAAATAGACAAACCTGTGCCTATAAATGATTAAGCCTAGATACTGTGAAATAAGAAATATTGCCATACTTTTATTTATTTAACTTTAAAAATTGTGTTTACCTGGAAGGGGCTACCCCCACTAAATTGGGGCCTAATCCTCTAAATAGGGAACGAGGCCCTTCTTTTTCCAAGATCACCCTGAAAGAGACAAAAATTTATTAGAAAGAAATGCCCTTCAAATGCTGGTACTTTTTATGACAAAATCCGAGCTAAATCCCATGTTTGTACTATAATACGTTATGCTTTTGTGATCAGTTCACCTTATTTAGTAAAATCTGCTTTTGTAGGACATACCATAGCATTAAAGATTGATAACCGATTTATTAGTGATACAAAAATACTCGGTTCAAGTTCTTTCCTCAGATTAAACAAAAACATCATAATAGAGGTTTCTACTTACATTTTCCTATGACCATGCTATCATTACCTCTATTCTTCTCAATTTTATGTGCTTTACCAGCAAGTTCAATTCCCAGTTAAAAAGGTAGTTCTTAGGCAGGCACTGTGGTGCAGCCAGTTAGGTCACTGCCTGTGGCACCAGCATCCCTAATGGGGGCTGGTTTGAGTCCCAGCTGCTCCCCTTCCAGTTCAGCTCTCTGCTGATGTACCTGGGAAGGCAGCAGAAGATGGCTCAAGTACTTGGGGCCCTGCCACCCACATGGGAAACCAAGATGGAGTGCCAGGCTCCTGGCTTCAGCCCAGCCCAACCCAGCAGTTGAGGCCATTTGGGGAGCAAACTGAGATGGAAAATCTCTTTCTCTTTGTGTCTCCTCCTCTCTACAACTCTGCCTTTCAAATAAATACAATAAATCTTTAAAAAGAGAGACTTATATTGAAACAAATAGCAGATCATTCAACAGCAAATACTGCACACCGACACACATATGCCCAGCAGAGAAAGGTACAAAAGTATGCCTACATCACACAAGGCTTTCTAAGAGTAAGTTGTTCCGTCAATTCTGGAGTTGAGAAGCAGCAGAGACTGAAGAGTAGGTATTTAAATTCAGAGTTAATACACTATATATGCCACGTGGTTCCCAAACATGTATATGTTGAAGAATGATCTCTTTATTAGTGAAACAGACATCCCTTCATTTGATAACTGTTTATAGCCCTTGCTTATATCGTTGCTGAATATATGTCTTGTTAGTTGTTTGTTGAATTCCTTATTTAGTAGAGCATTAAGACTCTGACTATAAGGCTGGCACCGTGGCTCACTAGGCTAATCCTCTGCCTGCGGTGCCGGCAACCTGGATTCTAGTCCCGGTTGGGGCACCGGTTCTTTCCTGGTTGCTCCTCTTCTAGTCCACCACTTTGCTGTGGCCCAGGAAGGCAGTGGAGGATGGCCGAAGTGCTTGGGCCCTGTACCCGCATGGGAGACCAGGAGGAAGCACCTGGCTCCTGGCTTTGGATCTGCACAGCGCACCATTTGGGGGGTGAACCAATGGAAGGAAGACCTTTCTCTCTGTCTCTAACTCTGCCTATCAAAAAAAATAATAAATAAATAAAATAAAGACGACTCTGACCATAATGAAACTTGCAACTTAAAAATGTATCTCAAAGTTAAAAAAAAGGGAGGGGATGATCTCTTGAAAGGCAGCTGAGCATAATGGTAAATTGAAGTTTAAGTGGAGGGGCTCGACCAAGTGTGAGGCTCAGTGCTGATAACTAACTTTAGACCACAAAGCAGCTTTCCTTTCATCCTTAGCTCCATCAGCAGTAAAAGAGGAAAAGCAGTACCCCCTTATTGGGTTACCCTGACAATTAAGTCAATTAATACATAAAAAGTGTAAAAGGAACTAACACAGACCCTACAGGGATTATAAAGATTCCTGTGAGGAAAAGGCAAAACTGTCGAAAACCACAATATAAACAGTATCACAGAGGTCAAGGGAATTTTAATTTAACATTTTCATGAAATTAAGATACTTTTCCTATTAGGAATCAGAGAGAAGTTATCTATAATTATGGCAGTTTAATTCAAAATTGTTAACAATTTTATTCTACCTACTCAAGTACTTGGTAACCAAGTGTGAAAAACAAAGATTGGGGAAATCTTCTGGTGGCAAAAGTAAACACACAGGATGAGTTTGTTTGCCAGTACAAAACAAACACTACTGAACAAAGTTCAAACAGATCAAGTCCCAAGTGAGCTGATAAGGCAGACCAAGGTACCCAGTTATACACCCAGGTTTAAACATGTGAAAACTGATTTCAATAGTCTTGAATTTCAAACCCAACTGTAATATAATGCAGCTACATACTGAACAGCATTTAAAAATCAGTTATTCTGCTTTAAGTCTCAGTTTAGGTTCATAAAAATCAGACTGCCATTAACTGGATGTACTTGTGCAAGTATTTGGAAAATTTAAAAACACGTATAAAAGAGCATTAACACTATCTCATTTCCTAAAAGACTTAAGAATCTAAAATAAAATACTGATAATACCTTTAGAAAATAAATCCATTGGATGAATGTAGAAAAACATTCTAAATAACATGATTAGGAAATAATATTACATTTAATATTGGTTATCTTTCTTTTCCATTAGAGACTTACATTACTAATGAATATAATTCAGAGTAACATCTGCCATTAAGTTTGACAAGAAACTTAAACTGTGGCAGAGGGGCTTGCATTATGGCATAGTGAATTAAGCCACTGTTTGGGATGCTGACATCTCATACTGGAGCTCTCGTTCAAGTCCTGGCTGCTTTGCTTCTGGTTCCAGTTGCCTGCGAAGTACTTGGGCCTCTGCCACCCACATGTCAGACCGGGATGGAATTCCTGGCTCCTGGATTCAGCTTGGCCCAGCCCCAGACATTGCAGCCATACGCGGAGTGAACCAGTATACAGAATATCTGTCTCGCATTGCCCCCACCCCCATCTGTCTTCCCTCACCGTCACTCTGCCTTTCCATAAATAAATAAAGCTACTATTTTCAAAAATAAAATGTGGCAGAATATAAACAAACATGTGGAACCCACTACAGAAAAAAGCGATCATGGACACTGTGCTCTCACTTTAGGCAATGGAGAGGTCCAGGTGACACTATTCGGTTGACACTGGCTCCGGCCATGGTGTTCAGCTGAACTTCAGAGATGTACAGTGTCACAGATGATGACTGCAGCCTTGTTTTCACAACTTCCAGTGGACATGTCAGAATAGCTCCCACTGTACCACCACATCTACAAAAGACAGAGAACCAAACTTAACCACCAAATCTGCAAATCAGTATACCTGCCCACAGCCACAATTCGAGTGGGTACCTGGCACCTACCAATACACTAGAATTAGAAATAAACAATGGTTAAAGTTTCATTTATGACTGCAAACAAATGCTTTCCGTAGTTAAGAAGAACCAAGCTTAACATCTACCTAGCAAAAATACTTAACTGAAGATTTCAAATGGTAGGCGCTGTTACTAAAATTTACTGGCAACTCATCCAGACTTTAAGTACAGGTTAAAGGCTGATTTAACATTCCTTGCTTATTAGGACTTGTGGCTCTGCTGTCACCTGAACCAACATTTGAGGTATATCCATCTTTCTAACTCCTATCCTTTTAAAACTCACGAAATGATCTTTTAATGGATAATCATACCTATTCCTCTGATTCTCAATACTAGGAAGTATTTCATGTTCCAAAATTAATTACATTAGTTGAGTCTCAGAATTGGTATCTGTGTAGATTTACGCATGGTAGGAAAACTTAGCTATAAGATCTATTTTAAATAAAGAGACACATCACCAGAATAACAACAGAAGCTCTTAATAAATTACATTATTTCAATGGTTAAAAAGGTATATAAGAGGGTCAGTGTTGTGGCGTAGTGGGTAAAGCTGCCATCTGCATTGTTGGCATCCCATATAGGCACCGGTGCAAGTCCTGGCTGCTACTTTTCTGATCCAGCTCTCTGCTATGGCCTGGGAAAGCAGTAGAAGATGGCCCAAGTCCTTGGGCCCCTGCACCCATGCAGGAGACCCGGAAGAAGCTCCTGGCTCCTGGCTCTGGCTTTGCCCAGCCCTGGTTAATGTGACCATATGGGGAGTGAGCTAGCAGATGGAAGACCTTTCTTTCTCACTGTAACTCTACCCCTCAGATAAATAAATAAATAAAATCTTTTTTTAAATAGGTAAGTAAATGATCAGCTGAGTAATTATTATTTTTAAGTACAAGAGTGGGAATATTTCTTCCTAAAGCATTAATTAGTAGCTACCCAGCGAAGCCTTTCTAACTATAGAGGAAAATCACTCAGAGAGCAATGAGAGCAGTGAAAAAGAAAGGAAGCTGACTGAGAGGCATATGGGCCTCCATAATGGGCATTAAAGGAAGAAAAATAAAGCAGCCCTCCACAGGAATATACTAAGCAATTCTAAAATACGCACATGTAAAATATATATAATAAATAACACAAGGAAAGTAGGCATAGTAACATTACTGCCACCAAGTAAAATTTAAAGTAAGAAATAATTACATAAGGTAATTTACTCAAAATGGATCACAGAACAAAATGTATAGTTGTGATAAGAGAAATCTAGAAAACATCTGATAAAAAGTCTTTTTGACTTTGGGTGTGCAGATTTCTTAAATGAACAACAACAAAAAGCATGAATCATAAAAGAAAAAAACAGGAAACAGACTTCACCAAAATTAAAGACTACTTTGAAAGAAAACTGAAAATCGGCAGGCTAGAATACCTGCAAATCACAGGCCTGAAAAAGTGCTTGTATTCAGAAACACAATAACAACCCAATAACAAACAGCTCAATAAAAGAAATTTGACAGTTCATCAACGGCATGGATGCAAACAAAGATTTTTCAAAATCGTTTCTCATCAGGGAAACACAAAGTAGATTCATAATCAGATGTGTATCCACTAGTGGCTAAAATTAGAAACCCTGACAATAGCCAAGGCTGATGAACAGCAGATAGAAACCTCTCATACTGCTGGTGAGAATCAGAAATGGCACAGGCATTTTAGAAGATAGTTTGGCAGTTCCTTACAGAGTTAGACATACAACTGCCATACAACCCATGATCTCACTCCTAGGTACTGACTCGAGAAATGAACAGGCTGTGCCCACCATGAATCTGTGCTACTGGTTAGCCCATTTTTATCATTGGATGGTTTGAGACATTTTAAAGCTTCTTTATTTTACTTTTATTTATTCATTTAAAAGGCAGAGACAGATGCAGAATGTTGATTTCCCATCTGCTGATTCACTCCCCAAATAGCCACAAAGCCATTTTTTGGGCTACATTTAAGCCAGAAGCCACAAAATCCACTCAGGTCTCCCATATGGGTAGGAGAGAGCCAAGTCCTCATCTGTTGCCTCCTCTCAGGGTATGCATTAGCAGGAAGCTACATGGAAAGAGGAGACAGGACTCTACCTCAGGTGGTGGCTTTATCTGTTACACCCCAATGCCTGCCTCTGGAGACTTTTAAATAGAAGAATAGAGAGTGAGCCTGGCTACAATGCATACAGCCAGAAGTTCCAAGTAAAGGATTAAGAATTCATATTTGGACAAGTGTAGATGCCCTGCAGGCTGCTATACTTAACACTGAAAACATGAAGGGCTTTTCCGACAGCAGCACGCTTGCAGCTCACTCTCTGAAAGGTAGCTGGATGGACGCTCACAAGACGGAAGATTAAGCATCTTTTTTTTTTTTTTAAAGATTTATTTTATTTTCTATTTGAAAGGCAGAGTTAGAGAGAGAGAGTTAGAGAGACAGAGAGAGAATCTTCCATCTGCTGGTTTACTCCCCAAATGGCCACAATGGCTAGGGCTGGGCCAAGCTGAAGTCAAGACTCCATCCAGGTCTCCCACATGGGTGCTAGGGGCCCAAGTACTTGGGTCATCTGCTGCTGCTTTCCCAGGTACATTAGCAGGGAGCTGGATCAGAAGTGGAGCAGCCGGGACTTGAACAGATGTTGGGATTGATGTTGGGAGATGTTGCGATTGCAGAGGCAGCTTAACTCACTGCACTACAATGCAGGTCTCCAAGCAACTTTCAATATTGATAAATTTCTGCAACCACCTGCCCCTCAACAAGAACCAATCCAGACAGGATTAGAATGAGAGTTCAGAGGGTCAAATATCTCCAGGAATAAAGACTAATGAACAAATATATCTGAACATACTGAAGTATCATGCTCATACATAAGCTAAAATTTTAAATAAGGAGCAATTAATAACTCCATGAGGAAACAGTGAAGTTATTCAAGAAAGAAAAAGTCAACACAATGCACCACTTGCTCTGCAGTGAACATTGTTACAACCAGGCAAGCATCGATTGATTTAATTTAAAATTAATGATTTAATTTAAAAATTGCATTATTGATTATATATTAGGAGAATAGAAGGGAGGTATTGGGAAGTGGTATAACTAAAAGCTCATTCACCATAACAGAAAGTAGATGTTTAATAAATGAATGGGGGGGGGGGGGGTTTCGCACAGAGTAGAACCTATTTAGAACAGGAAAAAATACTTTTCATAAATAGCTAAGAATTATAGGATATCTTCAGTAGGAAGCTAGGGAATGTTGGTTTTATCTTTTAAAAGCTTTGTTTTTCTTTTTATCATTTTCATAATTTATTTTTAAATTAAAAAAAATTTTTTTTACAGGCAGAGTGGACAGGGAGAGAAAGACAAGAGAGAAAGGTCTTCCTTTGCTGTTGGTTCACCCTCCAATGGCCGCTGCGGCTGGCGCACCGTGCTGATCCGAAGGCAGGAGCCAGGTGCTTCTCCTCGTCTCCCGTGGGGTGCAGGGCCCAAGGACTTGGGCCATCCTCCACTGCCTTCCCGGGCCACAGCAGAGAGCTGGCCTGGAAGAGGGGCAACCGGGACAGAATCCGGCGCCCCGACTGGGACTAGAACCTGGTGTGCTGGCGCAGCAAGGCGGAGGATTAGCCTAGTGAGCCGCAGCCCGAGCCTATTTTTAAATTAATTTTTAACCAACATTTTAACAATGTGTATTTTTAAAACAACAAAACCGTACAACACATGGTTGATGTTTCTGGGACCCAATGACCCTTATGAAGGTGTTGAGAAAAAAATGACATGTACAGCATACAAGTGTACTTGATCTGGACCTTCAAAATACAATCCAGAATGGTGATCTCTTTTCGCCACTAGCATTTTGGAAAAGTGGGTCACAAACCAGCCAAATGGGTTCATCATCCACCATGCTGAAGCCACTATGGGATCTTACTGAGGTTATCACAGTTTCCTCCTAAGCAGTACCTCCCAGCTTTTACCCTCCCATACCACCCCCATCTAACCTCAATACACTGGTCAGTGTCCTCACTCCTCTGCTCAATATTCCCCAGTGACGTCATCCTACTCCTTACAATAACCTAGGAAACTTTACACAGTCCACTCTCCGGATTCCTCTGACTTCTTCTTACTATCCACTTCATCTCTCACTCTCTTCCAGCCACACTGGCATCTAATTATTAGAGCTGAATGCACCAAACATGCTCCTGCCTCAGGACCTTTGCTCTTGCTAGTCCCTTACCGCCTTATCTTTGCTCAGCTGTCACACCCAACTTTCAATCGACCTTCCTCACATTATTCTGTTGTGCAAATACTGCCACTTAGTACACCCTGCATTTCATTTACCTTATCTGCTGTGTCCCCTTACCCTGGATTTAAGCATCAGGAAGGCAGCAATCTTGGCCCACCTATGACAACGCTTCCGGCACAGAGAGCAGGAGTAAGGGAATGAACACCCTAGACTTTAAATGGCAAGAGGCAGTACAAATGGTCCCACTTCGTGGGCAAAGCCACACAAGCTCTGCAAAAGAAAATTACTTGCTCTAAATTAACAGCCAAAGAACAAACTATGTTTCCTGCTTCTCAGTTCAGCTCTCTCTCCTTTCATCAGTGGCTTTCAGATCTCTGACTTCAACAGATGAGAAATACATTTTATATTGAGACTCAGCATACCTATAAGCACACACAAATATTTCACAGAAATGAGGGTGCTTCATACAGTTTGGAGGGCAAGCACTTATTCTGGAGCTTAAGATCCTAGCTTCCCATATCAGAGCGCCTGGGTTTTGACGCCTGGCTTGGTTTCCTGCCCAGCTTCCTGCTAAAGCAGATTCTGAGAAGAGCAGTGGGATCCACCCACGTGGTAGACCTGAGTTTCCACGTCCTGGTCCTGACCCTTGCCAATGT